TTGTCTTACTCTTCGCACGAACTCCGAAGTTAGTTCAGTTTTCATTTGTTTTTGGTCAATTTTCCGCGCTTGTTTTACTTGCCACTTTGGCCATCTTGCATATCGAAACCTCCGGGCTGAACCTTTCCTCTGAGTATATTTAGTATACGGCACTTGTCTAGTCCAAAATGCATATTGATATCATTTGAGAAAGTTTCTACAGTTACATATACATTATTATTATTATTATTTCCAGATTTAGCCATACGGCTCACACTCACTCTAAGGGGAAAATTCACTCATTCCAGATACCTACGGTATCAAAAGGATTGAGCTCTGGTGGGACTCTTTCCGTGTTATCGAGACCTAGGTGTCTTGGAATGCTGGAGTATCTCCCAAAAATTTTCGTACACATCAGAACGTTCAGAGTAGTACAGCTTTCTGCATGGTCTTGTCGAGATGTTCATTCAGGCCTAGCTTTTTATGTTTTCTAGGAGGTTCTTTCGAGTGGAAGCCATTAATTTCAAATCATCCATATACAACAAATGATTAAGCTTCGCCACAACAGTATTGTTATTTTATCCATATACAACAAATGATTAAGCTTCTCCACAACAGTATTGTTATTTTTGATACTAAAACCTGAGTCAGTGGAGTTCAGTAGCTAAGATAGTGGGTTCATCGCTAAACAGAACCAAAGAGGACTCAAGGAGTCCCTTTGGAAAAGGCCCCGGTTAATTGGGATATCTTCAGTTTCGATGTTTTTTTCACCAAGTATTTGAAGGTGAATTTTAGTCTTCCACTCCGTTATTATATGCTTTAAAAAGGTCACTAAATTGACATCGACTTTATATATTTTCAATATATCTATCAGCTATTCATGCGGTACTGAATCAAAGGCCTTCTTGTAATCGATGAAGGCGGTAAAAAGGTTCCTTTTTTTGGTGTACGCCTGGTTGGAAATGACTGAGTCGATTATAAGTTGTTCTTTGTAGCCCATGGAACCCTTAGCGTATCCTCTCTGTTGAGGCTCTATGATATTGTTTAGAGAACAGTGTTGGTAGATACGTTGGGTTACACAGGATGTGACCAATTTGTACAAAGTTAGAAGACAAGTAATTGGGCGGTACTTGGCTGGATCTTGGGTGTTATTTTGATCCTTTGGTATTAGATAAGTGGTTCCTTGAGTAAGAAATGGTGGTATTTCCTGCGGATTAAAAATAACATGATTAATTAATACTGTTAAATGCTCGTGTATACTCCAGAACTTCTTTAGCCAGAAGTTTTGAACTCCGTCTGGCCCAGGAGATTTCCAGTTATGAAGCTCTTTGATAATGTTCGAGACTTCTTCAGTGGTGAAAGGTTCATAGGGAACATTACTGTAGTGTTGACAGTTGTTCGTCATTTCTTTGATCCATCCAGCATAGTTATTATGAGTAGCTGGTGTCGAAAGTTGGTTTCCCATAATTTATGAATTTCTTCTTGGCTTGGGTAGGATTTATTTTCATTTTCTACAGTGGAATTCAGTTTCCTATAAAAAGACTTCTCTGCATGCTCAAAAAGTATATTGTCACATTTCCGGTTGTTACTCACTTTGTATCTCCTTCTTACTCCTCGAATGTATCCTGTAATTTGTCCAATGTCCCTACGCAGTAATTCAATCTTCCTCAGCAGTCGTTGTTCCCAGGGTGCTATTATGTTACCAGTCCTTCTGAAGTTGGTACTCCGTCGTGTTCTGATCTTAATGCCCATAACATTAGCAGTTGCTGTTGCCGCACAGTAAATCAGCATAGTCAAATATTCCAATATATGGGCTTCGACGATATAATTGGGTAGGACTTCAGTATTCACAATTTGTAACAGCGCTCCTAGTTTCTTGGAAGAGTTTATTTTTGGTAGCGGTGGTCTAGTAAGTGGGTTTGTTCCACTAAACTCTTGTACGGCACGTGCCATCTGGTTTACCAGACTATTGTGCAACTCTTTATTCACCTGTTGTATTATTATTATTATTATTATTATACAACAAATAAGGCCAGAGGAGCGAGCTCGTATTATGCCCAAAAAGCAAAAATAAAAAATATCCTTGTAAAACTAATACCAATTATTATAAAGTTAAGTAAAGTTAAACAATTAAGTATATCATACAAAAATTGAATTGTGAAACAATAAAATAATAAATAATGCTGTCCGAAAATAACACAATCCTTTTAACTTTACCTACTAATATAAATAATCTTTTTAATAACACAATTATTATTTCAGTTTATTTCAACAACCATATTAATTAGACTTTTTTATGGCCTGTATTTTGTAGTTGTCGTATGTTCATTTAATTACTTTTAATTTATAAAGCGTGTACCTATTATGTAAATTGTTAATCATTCTATCACATAGTAATTTTGAAAGATAAGAAATACCTATGTCACGTTTATATTGCCTGTCTATTTCACCAAACCTTATAATCTAGGAATATAGCATGCTGCTTGGACTCAATACCAATACTCAATGTCAAGAGTTATTTATAAAATTTTAATTCATATACGTGACATTAACCTTGAAATGATTTGTTTGATTGTTTGTAAAGATGTTTCTCGTGGCGATTATTTATTTCGATAAAAAAACGCATAATAGTAGGTTTCAAAACTATTTATAATATTCTTAATCTTAAATTTAATATCAAAATAATGGACAATTGGTAAATTTGTTAACGGTTTTCAGTACTTTACATTAATAAATATGAATCAATAGTGCGAAACAACAGGAGGGAATCGAAGGAAAATATTTCAGAAGGAAAATATTTCGACTAAGCAAAATACTATACCGCGGATTTGGTCAACATTGTGAAGAGCCGTAAGCTGGAGTACTTGGGACATATTATGAGAAATCAAGGCAGATACGAGCTACTCCAATGCATTTTGCAGGGTAAAATTGAAGGAAAAAGAGCCCCAGGACGAAGAAGAATATCCTGGCTTGCTAACCTGAGAGCATGGTATAGAAAGACCTCAACACAGCTATTTCGTATAGCAACCAACAAAATCATCATAGCCAGAATGATCGCCAACGTTCGGAACGGACAGGCACCCTAAGAAGAAGAAAATACTATACTAAATTATATCCTATAAAGCTGATAATATAAACCATAGGCGTAGCCGCAGTGGGTGCCGTGGAACCCACACTAACTTTCGAGGGGCGCAAAAATTGAGATGGTTCACTTCTAGAAAAAACAAATAATCTACGAACATTTTGAGTAATATTAAGTAGATCTTCAAATCCAAAAGAACTGAAAGCCAGAGAGAAGCAATGACGAACAATTTGGATTATCTGAATATTTGATTAACTAATTGATATAATTATAGTTTTAGTAAATGATCAATCAATCAATCAACAATGAAAAAGAATTGTTTCTCAAAGGTGTATTTCGTCGGTACAAAGTTGTACAAACGAGACCTTTGATGTCACTCACCACCAGCAGATTGCTATCGTTTTCAGTTATATCCCTAAAGGTAATACGTTTCTAGTTGAAAGGCTAGTAGCATTGAAATAATTTAAATTAACTGATGCAGAAACCATTTTTATATAATGAATTCTACTTGCGATGTCAGGAAACTTTACTGGTGTGCAGAAGAGATGTACAGAGAGAAATATTAAAATGTTGTATATTCACTGCTATGCTCGTTGCCTTAATTTATTTAGCATTGATAGCCGCTTGTGCTAAATCCGAAGATTTTCTATTTTTTGGTGTAACAAAATAATTGGAAGTTAAAAACTTTAAAATCTTTATCTGAAACACGTTGGGCTTGTCGTGCTGATGTAGTTGCCGTAGTCAAAGATCAGCTTCAAGTAATTATAAAAGAAATTGAAGAGACATTTGATGACGCAACTGATGCAAAAAATAGAGTTAAAAGTAAAGGGATACTACCTCAAATCATCATCTTCAAATCTTTTGATTTTATTATCTGTTTCGAAAGAATACTTCCAATTCTACAAAGGGTTGTTAAATTTAGCAAATTACTTCCATCACCAGACATCGATATTTGTGAAGCTATACAAGAAGTTTCAAACTAGACGCTTGTTTTAGAAAAATTAAGGATCTAACCCATATTTGATAATATTTATGCCGAAGTAAAAGACATTTTGATAACCTTCAAATTGACATTCCCACTTCGAGGAAACGAACAGTTTCTACTAGATTAGATAATAATGCTGGAAATGCATTTAAATAACTTTAGATAAAAAAAAACTGAAACTTCAAAATCATATCCTTAAATATAGATGAGCTAGGAAATCAAGATTTAAAACACACGTTGGAATATTTTGATTTGAATTCTTCAGAATTCATTTCGGTCTTTCGTTTTCTCTCCTGTGAATATGTTGTTTCCTTTTATCTCTATAATCAGCTATCTTAACATTGTTCTGAAGCTATTTTTTGTAGAATTTTAATATTATTTGTAACTTGGATTGTCGGTTCGTCTTGAATAGTTGGGCGCCATGTCATTTTTGGAAAGAAGGGTTCGTTTTCCAGGTTTTTGGCTCGACTGCTCTGTAGAGGCTATTCGGGGTCGTCTTGGGTGAAGGATCCTCTGCTATAAATCTGTCTATGGGTTTATTTTGGTAATTTGGTTTCTAGGTAGTCTTAAGAAAGATGATCTATGAACGTGGTGGTCCGAGCTGGAGGGAGTTTATGTGAGAGCCCGTGACGTACTGGTACGCACTGATTGACCTGAACTGAAAATCTCTCATATTTATACACAGAAGTTAAGGGTCTGTTTGTAGCAATATTGGGAGGTGTAGGTCGACCGGTCAATGGGAAAAGTTTCGAGTCTAGGCGGTTCATATCGGCACGCGCATTAGTTCCTGACGAAGAGATCTAGGGATTTCACTCTCCTATCCTTCCGACACTGTTTAACTCCTTTTTAGAGAGAAATAACTCAGACAAATAAATCTTTTCATTAGCTATAAACATAATATTATTTATTGAAGTATCTTGTTTACAAGTTCTATATATTTACTTTATTTTTAAGGTTGATAAAATCGCCTTCACTGGATCAACCGAGGTTGGAAAACTAATTCAGTCCATGGCTGGAAAAAATAACTTAAAGAGAACTACTCTAGAATTGGGAGGCAAAAGCCCCAATATCATTTTAGCTGATGCCGACCTCGAACACGCTGTCGAACATTCTCATCAAGGAGTCTTCTATAATCAAGGCCAGGTTTGCTGTGCTGGAACCAGAACGTTCATTGATGACAAAATATATGATGAATTTGTCGAGAGATCTGTTGAAAGGGCCAAGAAACGTGTTGTAGGTGAGTGTAATGTATTTAATTATTTTTTAAAGTATACAAATATACTTATAAATTGCTGAATATATAATTTTTTGTAACCTAATACATTGTGATTGACATACTTTCAGTTTGAAGGGTAAATCTTTAGATAACTACTTTGGATTTTTACCTATGATGAGTCCATTTCTCTAACTATTGTTTTTATTCTGTAAAAGGGACAAAAGTAATGCGTCGTCAACGAAGCAACCTCACTTAACTCATTTTCTTCAACTTTACAGGAGAGAAATAACAAAACAACTTAATTTTGATGACGACGAACCTAGCAAACCAGCCCTCAATAGTTTTGGTTTGGGAACTGAATGAGATACGTAGTGTTGTGGTTAGAAATGTTATACGTGGTGTTGCTTTATTGCGATTACAGCGAAATCTGTTGAGATTTTTCCAAATCTCTAAAGTCTCAGATATTCCGCGTGAGTTGTTGGTCATCTGTACTATCTTCCAATGTTTATGGTCTTGGATCCGACTCCGTCTGCATTATATTTTTCTAAAAAAAAAAAATAGTGAGCGAACGCGGCAAAGGAAAATCTTTGCAATTTTGGTGGTAAAACGACTACAGGTAGGTCGGATATATGTCCCCTGAAGCTTGTTTCAGGTAATATGCGACGGATATGAAAAATTCGTGAAACAATTGTGGACATGTATTATGTTTCGATAAAAATCTTTGGTACCGTGGTTTTTTTGTCAAGCAATATTTCCTAATAATCTCTTTAGTACTGGTGATTGATACTAATCTTATACGTATGGGAAATGAAAAACGTAACAGAAGATGAATCTACAGGACATAAAGTATAAGGGAAAGAAAAAAACTTTCGTAAACCGGAAGGTTTATTCAATAACTCAGAGAAATGCCACGATAGGGATGACGTAGTGGATAACCCGCAACAGCTTAATTTCAAAGTATGACGGCGTCGAATTCAAGACCATGAACATTGGAAGATAGTACAGATGGCCAATACTTTATAAACACTTTCGCGCCAAAAGTTTAGGTTATCTCTATCCAATGGTACTACAGCCCAAATCGAGCCTTGGTCTCCTCCAAACTAGGCCTGCAACCTTGCCGGCCCCATACTGCTCTTCTCCAAGTTCTCACATCTAGCAAATTTTGCACGTCCGCTGTCACTTCATTCTCTCACCTTTTCCGTGGCCTTCGCTTTGCATTTTACTATCTAGAAAGTAGAAGCTCTTTTCGACAATCTTTCGGCCTCCATTCTCACATGACCAACTCATCAAAGTCGTTGAAATTTAACGAATTCGGTGATGGGTACCCCTTTGAACACTTGGTAGAGTTCATTGTTGTACCTGGATCTCCATACGAAGTTTTCGTTAATAAATCCAAATATCTTCCTTAGGATTTTTCTTTCAAAGACTCTCAGCTTTCTTTTTGTGTCTTCTGTCATCATTCATATCTCGCATCCATAACATACCATTAGTCTAATAATAGTTTTGTATACACGGATTCGCGAAAATCAAGGTAATACTGCAGAGAAATTTAGGGGTGTAGGCTGATATTCTGGGTTTAAGACGTCCAAAGTATATAACCATTATATTTATTCCAAACTCAATTGGTAGTAGTGACAGGCGGTGTGTACTAAGAATCATTGAAGAGCTCGAGCTTGTGACTTGCGCTTTCTGCGACTTCCTCTTTTATGGAGAATAATTGCAATCCTCAATTCCTAGCCCGAATAATGATCAGCAATCTACCCGAGTCGCTCGACCAATCAGGACATAGTGATTTCTTTAGTGTGACTAGAAGCTTCATATCTCTCTAAGATGAATATGTTTACACCGAGAATAACAGGCTAGTCTCTCGTCTGTTGTCGGAATTAATTACTCTACTAGAGAATAGCATTAGATGAATTACATTCGTATTTATCAATTACTTTCGTGTCACATCACACCTTATGTCAAGTGTCACGTTCCACATCAAGATAATGACTATTTACTGCTTTAGTCACCTCCTTTCAAACGATTATTATGCTCGACGATATCAGCTTCATGGTCTCACTTTTTATTTCCGTTCGAAGGTAATTCATCTACTAAGAACCTTATACCATAATTCAGTGCTTGGGACCTTTTGGTGTCTAAAATTACTTCGTCATCGTAACTAGAATAAGATGTTTTGACCAGTAGTCCAATTTCGTTGTATTACAGGATCAAATCGCGTATTATTTGTTGGAACTGCTTAAATATGATTTCATTTAGTTACTCATTCTGTAAATTTTTGTGTTTTTAGGCGATCCATTCGACTTAAAGACTGAACAAGGACCTCAAGTTGATGAAACACAATTTAATAAAATTTTGGAATTAATCAAGGAAGGTCAAAATCAGGGCGCCAAGTTGGTTCATGGCGGTGAAAGACATGGAGACAAAGGATACTTTATTCAACCAACTGTGTTTGCTGATGTACAAGATGATCATGTCATTGCCAGGGAAGAGGTAATAAAGTTTAAAACTGTTACATTACGCATATAGAACGTACAAATTAATTTTTTAAGAGATATGAGTAGGGTAGGATATATATTTTTCTAGAATTCTTTTATAGGTGTTAAGTCTACACCGAATTTTAATCCATAGACTTTTAATCTATCACATCGATTGCAGCTAACAAAAAGTTGATCGTTCCTCTATGAAACGTACAAATATCCAATTCACAATATCACAATCATTTTAATATTCGGCAACATAATTTTCCGCAACAGAAATGTAACTTCAATTATTCTTTGCATTCTCTTAAACCTTTTTCGTTATTTTGAAATATTAAACACTCTTGTAGGTTAAGAGGTTGCGTATAATGCTCCATTTAAACAAACATGTACTCTAAAGCACATCCTACTTCTAGTCATGAACGCTTCCAGTACAATTCGATTCATCTTGATTTCCAGATTTTCTAGATGCAAATTTTCAAAATCAAAAGTTTTTTCGCAAATTTTCAGTTCTATGGACAATTTTTTTATTACTTGCGGAAGCATCTTTCGATAGGAAAATTAATTGCGAACTTTTTTGCTTCTACTTATTTTTGCCGATGAGCGTATTCTAGTTATGAATAACCTTCCCATTCTACCTAGTTAGAATCACTGCAACCAACCCTGAACACGTTCCTAGTTTAAATATATTCAAACATTAATACGATATTTCATAATTTAACTCAATCATTTATATATACATTACAATTATAGATCTTTGGACCTGTACAACAACTTCTCCGATTTAAAGACCTGGACGAATTGATCGAAAGGGCTAACAGGACAAACTATGGTCTAGCTTCTGCCATTTTCTCAAATGATATCAACAAAATTAACTACATTTCTCAAGGTAATTATTACAATAATACTTTTTCACCTCTAAAAGCAAATGATCTTTCCTAAGCATTTATATCCACCTTTTTTTATATCCTAACGAATAACATTATTGTTGATATTTTCTGTGTAATTAAACCGATTTACAATTGTTTGTACAAAAGAAAGTAAAAACACAAGTTTGGTTTTTAATTCAAATTGCAATAAAATACAACTTAAATTTAAAAATAAGTGCATATTTGGTTAAAACAATCCTGAGAGCTGCCAGATTTGTCTCAAATTACAGACAATAATTACAGCTTAAAAGGAGGATCTGGGAAGCACAAGTTATAGTATTTAGTCAACAAGATGTTGGTTAAAATCGTTTTAGTCTTTAGTTTTTAGTGTAGATAGAATCGTGAAGCTATGCCGACCCGGGCTGGTCCGCCAGACCTCCTCGGGCCGGTGCGCCTTTGTTAACATCTGTCCATAAAGAACGCGTCATTAGATCGCGTGACTTTTATTTGCAAGACAATCACCGGTTTCAAAGTGTTACAGCAAATTGTGTACTTTAATTGTATCTTTCTTTTATATATTTTGTATGCCTTACTGTTTTATGCTGCGGCTAATTGCAAAAACTGTAGTTCACTCTAGCAAATGCCGACTATTTTTCGGTGCATTTCTAGAAAACTACAATATTTTCATTATAATTATTAAAAGAAAACATTCTTCAAAATATGAGTGATAGTAATTTCTTTGTTTCAAATAAAAAGGTCAAAGAAATAGATGAAGAAGAAGGAGAATAGATGAAGAAGGAGAAAAAGATGAAGAAGAAGAAGAAGGAGGGGAATAAGGATAATGAGATACAAAAAAATACTTGTTTATGAGCCGAGTTCCCAAAATAACTTCAAAAAACCTCCTGACAAACGAGTTTTTTTTAAATTCTATCCTACTCCAATTTTTAACCAATAACTGATTTAAATTTTTTCTCTTTGTTTTATTCTTCTGTAAATTAAACTGATCATTATATGGCCATTTGCAGTGTTTGGGTTTCTTGGTTTTTTGGTAGTAGAACATTCTCTAGATATCTCACCAGCATTGTATATATGAACGGGTAAAAATCAGAGTGGTGTAAGTCAAACAATTAAAAAATTAGAGTTAAGTCAATATTTATTATCCGAATGGTTCATTTTGTTTAGTTTGAGAGTGGCGTAAGTCAATTGTTCACTCACTGGCAACTGGGAGCAGCACGTCATTGTCATCTTACACTAAACTGCCAATGTGTTTAGAATGAGAGTGGTGTAAGTCAGACGATGAATTTGTTTACATGCAAGGATGTATTGCTAAGTAATCAGTGAGTGTTATTTTGTCTTCTATGTATTATTATAATACCGTTATTTCAAGTGAAAATGAATTTTTATAAAACAAAAGAAATTTAAATAACCTAAAACATGCGTAGACCTATACTGAAAACCTATAACAGGTTACATTTACCAAGTGAATCAGACTCTATTGAATCAACCGATGATGTTGATAGGGATCCAGATTACAATGAAGATAACAGGCTTACTCCTTTTGAACAAAGACTCAACCCTGTAGGAAGAAGAAACAGATTAATTTCTACTACATCCGAATCAGATAATCAGTCAGATGAAAATAATGAGTTTATCGGTCCCCAAGCTAAAGTAAAAACTAGAAAAAGGCTCAGGAAGCCAGAATGTCATAAGAAAAGCATTGCTAAGAAATAGAGGAATTCTGGTGAGAGGTATGTGAATGTAAATGGTCAAGTAATAGCAAATGAAACATTTTCAGACACCCCATGTCATTGTAAAATGGCGTGTCATGAGAAGGTAACAACCGAAGAACGACAATCTATGTTTAAGTCTTTCTGGGAACTAGGGGATTTTAAGCGGCAAAATACTTATATTTGCGGACTGATTCAAAGAACTCAAATCAAGCAAAGAAGGCCCCGTAAAGAGGGTGGTATTTTAAGGGGTGGGGCAAACAAATACTACTTAAAAACAAATCAAGGTATATCAGTTGCAGTGTGCAAAAAGTATTTTCTCACTACTTTTTGCGTGTCAGATGGTCGTGTAACACTAACTCTAAAAAAACTATGTGAATGTAAATTACCTGGTGAAGACCTCAGAGGTATAAAAGGATGCCCAGCAAGGAAAATCCCTGAGGACGATATAGAATATGTCTGCAAACATATCAAGTCATTTCCCTCTTACCAGAGTCAGTATACCAGGAAGAAAAATAAACACCGAAGGTACCTTAGTGATAATTTAAATATTAGAAAAATGTATTCATTGTACGACAAAAAGTGCCAGGAAGAGCAGACATCACCGGTTAAGGAGCATTTTTATCGATATATTTTCAACACTAAATTTGACCTTCACTTCTACATTCCAACAAAAAAAGACACTTGCAAAAAATGTGACATATTCAAAATAAAAATAAGCAATCCTGAATTGAGTAGGGATGAATTATCTCAACTTAACACTGACACAGTTATGTATGTAGTGTTGACTTACAGAAAGCTTTGCCGTTTCCAGTGTTATCTGTTTCAGATGCCTATTATAAGCGAAATATGTACTGAGATAACTTTGGAGTGCATGACTTCGACACAGAAGCTGGCGTATTTTATTTCTGGGATGAAACTATCGCTTCCAGAGGCTCTCAAGAAGTTTCATCCTGTATTATAAAGCAAAACTAAATGCTCCAAACAAGAAACATGTTATAATTTACAGCGATACTTGTACTGGTCAAAACCGAAAAATTAAAATGGTTTTAGCACTAACAAGATTTCTACAAAGCGACGCAACAGACATCGAAGTAATCGATCAGAAGTTTTTAGTTTCTGGACATTCATTCGTACCGAATGATTCGGATTTTGGTTCTGTAGAACTAGCTGCAAAAGGAAAGGCAATCTATCTACCAAGTGACTGGAAAGAAATCATGACTACCTGCCGGAGAAAAAAGAAATTTATTGTTTTTGATATGAGCAATGATGAATTCTTTTTAACAAGCACACTGGAAAGAAACATTGCAAATAGGAAAAAAAGTTCAAGGAAAATATCAGTAAACTGGCAAAAATGCAGTGGATAAGGTATGAAAATTTTCCCAAGAAACAATCATGGAAATGGCTGATAAATACAACGGCCCCGAGTACGGGCGCTCCTTAAATGGAGCAGGGGTGCTAAGAATCTCCCGGTCAGCTAGAAACATGAACACATTTTCTAAAGAAAGAAAAATAGGTACATGGAATGTAAGAAGCATGTACGAACCAGGAAAAATAAATTATCCATTAATCCCTGGCATTATCCCTCCAGATACTGACAGAGAATGTAGCGTAGAATCTTTAAGTAATTTTAAACTGTTTGTCCTCGTTTTAGTGTAGTGTTTTGTACAATTTTATGTCTTTATTAATGTTTCCACATTCTACGCTTGCCGGATAGTTTACATTTTGACGAAATGCCCCTGAAGATGCTATTTTAAGCGAAAGTACTTGGGCTAGATTTAATTAACTTGTGCTCGATAATAGCCTTATTTTCAAAGTTCTATCTTAATGTGTTATCTGGTTCCTGGTATATTCTATAAAGTTCGAAGTTGCATCGTTTTCTCCAGACACCATTTTCATTTACCGCTCCATAGATTCGCCTCAGTATTTTTCTTTCGAAACATCCTAACATGTTTTCATTGCTTTTTGTTAAAGTCCAGGTTTCTGAACCATATGTTAGGACTGGGCGTATTATTGTTTTGTAGAGTTTTACTTTTGTATTTCTTGTTATAGCTGTAGATTTAAGCAATGGTAGAGGGTATATGTACCTGAGGCAATTAATACACAAATATAGCTGGTTATTTCCAGAAATCAGCAGGATAAGAACTCTTTGAAATAAAAGTTATTTATTTTTGTTTATCGCTCGTATTTCACGATATCACTAATATGTACATAATGTTATCAAAATGATTGCAAATGTCGTAGGTTATGCCAACAACAATAATTATTGACAGTCAAGTACATTCCTAGATAAGCGTTTAAAAATATTATTAATAATTTAATTACCGACGAGCTGCATACGACGCTGTTGCACAATGGTTAAAGTTGACAATAATATGAAGATATTGCACACCATAAAAAAACTTCTGCAGCATTTTTAAGACGAGGTTAACTTGTTTTATTTGTCTTACCAACAAACTGGCTTTATTTCTAATGCACTGATAATAAAAATTTATATAATCCGAGCAAAACAATATATACAGTATAGACTCGAAATGTGCGGGCATTTAATGCAGAAAATGTACGAAATAATGAAATATAAAATTCTTATTACCGCTAAGAATCCGTGATTGTATTTCTTGACTGATGTTAATGTCATTTACATTCAAATATAAAATTGTACATTCAAATTATGCATGAAGTAACATGATGTCGGATTAACTATTTGAAAGTGAATAGGGGTATATCCAATGCTCACCCAAGGGTTGGAGCTTGGTACCGATATTTTTAGAACATGTGCATTCTATTTACATATTATAAACAAATTACAAAGTTAAGTAAAAAAACTCAGATTGAGAGATAAAGTGAATGACAAGATTGGCTGCTGTAATTTGTAGGAAACTTTCATACTTACTAGAGAATAAAATATGTATACAGTGTATCCCAATATTAACACATTAATCGTCCAAATGAAGCGAAAAATATCCCACACCCAGGTCGAACTTAGTTTTTCTAGTGAATCATTATGTTCTTACACTGCATGTGGTGTAGTGATGTAAAAAAGTACCTATCCGTTACAAAGTAACGGGTATTTGTCCAATACCCAAAGTACCGATTCCTCGTTGTTAGAAATACTCATTACTTTTGGTAAAAAAAATTTTACAGATAGCCATTATAGTAAACTAAACGAAATACCCGGATGGCGTCAACACAAAACAAAACAATTTCTTCTGTCGATTGGTATGTCAGTAATCAGCACTTCGAAAGATAAGCCAAGACGGCACTGGTGACGCGGAATGTATCCTACTTTTTTTAATATAAATGAAAAGAAATTGGCAGAACGATGGTCCAGAAAAAGAATCTAATATTTCACTTTGTTAGTTTGAAATATTTGTTTGCTTTGAGTCGATTGGAGTTGAGAGCTAGAATTGAAAGACTTCGTTTTGCGTTTAATTATTGGTCTTATATAATTTGTTTGACTGTTTTTTTTTTGGACTGGTTTTAATCTTTGCAAATGACATATCTGCATAAGCACTGCTACCTTGCCGTATCGAAAAAAATATATAGAGTTAACTTAAAACATATTATGGCGTGAACACTATCTGATCAGTTAAAGTCATATTCTTCGCCTTTGCGTAAAGTGATCAAGTGGTATAGAAAACTTGCCTTTGAAATATTACTTGGCTCAGCTGTAGTCAACGCTTTCATACTATACAACTATTCAAAACCAAACATTTATACAAAACGGTGACAACAGCCAAAATATCAATTACAGATTTTAGACAGAACATGCTCTTGGTATATTATAAATGCATGAAGTGAATGTTATGAAGGTGCCGAAAAATAAAAACAGAAAGCGTATTTTACATGAAGTTGCTTCAAAAGATCGTCGAAAATATGTAGTAGATTATGCGAAAATAGGTACTAAGAAGGCAGAAAAACCGCTCTGGAGAAGAGACCGCAATCAAAATTTTTATGTGATGTATTTAATAAGTTCTATTTTTTTTTATGTTTTTTGACGTTCACAATTATTATGTATAACTTATAAAAACTGTTTGTATTATTTGAAATAAAATAAAAATGTATTTTTATGAATTCATATAATTTTTTGAAAAATCTTTAAATGATTAAAAACACATAAAAAGTGAAGAGCTTATTCACTACCCAACGCGGTGGTTGGGTTACAGACTTTATGTTCACGCTAGTAGTAAAGGATGCCCATTGGTGGCGGGGCGTGTATGACCACAGGATCTGAAACCTAACTTTTGGGTGTTATGGCCATTAACGTGTTAAATCCCATTCTGTAGGATTTTGATTTATGGTAACTAATACAGATCGACCAGTAACGCTGAAAGATTTATAGCTTTTAAAGTACAACATAATATACAATTTCAAGACGCCTACCAAACTCTTCACCTTGTGTGTTGTAGACGAGAGTTGACTTGAACTAAAAATATATTTTTTAACATGGATAACATAAATATGGATGATTTATTAATAGATATTGTAATAAAGCTCTACTTATTCATACGTTTCAATTTTTTAGGTTTGAAAGCTGGTACCGTATGGGTCAACTGCTACAACGTTTTCTCTCCCCAAGTTCCATTCGGTGGTTACAAAGATTCTGGATATGGTAGAGAATTGGGAGAATACGGATTACAACAATACACAGAAGTCAAGTCTATTATTACCGCTCTCCCCGCCAAAAATTCCTAAACTGTGTTTTTGAATATGCCTTTTCTAAACGTTTTTGATTTTCTAGATTATAGTTTTCTCAAATTTACCTTTAAAACGTACAAGAAAAGTTTTTTGTATAAAAGTGTTCACGCACAAAACGGTTCTAGAATTGTAACTCTTAAATCATTATAATTTATGGAAGATCTTGAATCAAAATTAATCTGGTTAGAAAAATTATTTTTGGTTTCCAGCTAACTATTTTACGAACATTTTATTTAAGTTAGTATTAGGTCTATTGGTGCTTACCAATGTGTGTTTTATATTGAATAATATATATTTTTTCATTTGAAACGTCCTTTTTTAGTTCCTCTTCCTAAGTTGCTATTTTCTGACTGATCTCTTACAGGTCTAAAGCCTTAAAAACAACCTTAAACAAAAAAAAACAGACGTTAGTCAGGGCTGTGGGGCGACAACTACTGATTCATTAGAAGTTAAGCGGTCATTCTAGAACTTATGTTGTGCATATCCATCTCATATCACAGTAGAAAGGATGTTGTTTAATTAGAGACCAGTTTATCCCATCCTTGAGTGGTTTTAATATGACCGTAAGATCATAAAAGAAGTTGTATTTATTCTTAGAAAAGTATCCAAGACAAAGCAATAATAATAAAAAAAGAAAATAAATTATACAATAGGCAATCCTACTTTAGCAGCCAAAACTGTACTGCAGTAGGACTGTAGGGCGAAAAATAAAGCTGAAAATGTATAAAAAGGAAAGGAGAGTTAAGATTTGATTTCACGTATAGTCCGCTTTTACGTATTTCGGCCTAATAGGCTTCTGCAGAACGGCAATTCATAGTCGCTCTAAACGTGAAAATAAATCTCTTCTGTCTTAGGAAGCAACTCTAAAATGGCTTCGAATGGACGCAAATAGCGACATCTGATATTAAAATCCGTAAACTAATTTTCGAAACCAAATATATATCATCCATAGATATATAAAAACAATAATTCCATAGATCTATAAAAATATATCTATGGAAAGACATTTTCAGATTGAATAGAGATAAACAATGATAGCGACTTGTTTAGTTAAGAGTTTATTAATACGGGAATTATTTGACATTTTTCTAATTAAGAAACTACACAATTTTTTTACTTATTAACAGTATCAGACGTTTTCCAACTTTTGGAAAAAAAAAATAGTACTGCTGTTATAAGTATCTGCAAAATAATATAAAGGTTCAAATATCACCTTTTCGTTCGTTACTAAGGGCGACTTAATAACTTTAGGAACAAATAATAGTCACCAATTAAGTTGGTGCTCTATTTTAAGGATATTTTTCTTTTTTTCAAAACTAACCAAGGCGGTTGTTGTTCAAATCGGTGCTACAAAAATCCAATCCGTCAGTTATTGTTGGACCCTTCGAGTCTCTTCTAAAATTCTCATCCAAAAATTACTCGCTATAACTTTTCCTGCTAATTGAGTGGTATTTGCCTTCTTCGATGAGCTTTCGCCACGTTTTCTCCACAGATTTGAGTGTTCGTTCTAGCGCACGCCTACTCAATACTTCTCAACATGAAGAGCTCTTTCGTACAGTAAAGTACCATAACTGTATCTAGTGATGCATGTTTTAATGGTTTTTTATAGACTAGTAAATTTGGACGTTTACCCTTTTGAAAAATATATTTTTGTTCCGACAAAAAGAGAAAATTTAATAATTATTTAATAAACAAATTAGTGGATTATTGTAGAATCTGTTTAATATATTAAAAATTCACAACCTTCTTCTGACTGTTCAGATAAAAGAGATCTCATTTTATATGAAATCGTTTTAAATAATTTGACTGGTCTATTTTTAAACCGTTCAGATGTTTTGGAAAATATTTGGATTCTAGGGAAAATGTAACATTGTCAACGTGTATGATTCAACTTGAAATTATCTGCAATATTGTAGATTATATCTTTCTCTAATGGTAAATAATGTCTGAGATCAACAATTTAGTCCCAGATTAAGGCAATGTAACTAGCAACAACGTCATCGTTGGGGTAGTTCTTTTATAATTATGCTATCTGTAAGCCAGTTTCATAAGCGTACTGACAGGGGTTTCATAAAGCCGAGAGCAGAATTGTTTGTAGTGTTATTAGTGGAAGGCGCTTTTATGTTTACTTTTTGTGAATTGTGATTAATTTAGTTTAATTCAACTTGGTGACAAATCATAAATATGACAGACAGTAGTAATAGTGAACCGTGTTTCAAAAAAACGTCATAATTTAACACGTGAACAAAAACTCTCCTTTATATGCCTTTATGTATAAAGGCGAGTATAAAACAAGCAGCATTCGAAGCCCTTGGAGAAAAAGATCGTATAACAAATATACAGCACTATTATGAAATAAATTAACCAACAAAAAGAATAATTGAAGAAAAAAAGCAACTATACAGAAAATGGCTGACTACAAACAACGATGAAGTTTATAAAGATTATAGAGAAAAAGATAGAGAAGTGAAAAAACAAATAACACAACAAAAGAATGAAGAATGGAAAGAACCTGCTTAAATATTGAAACATACATAGGAGGTACAAGTACTGAGAGGATTGAAACAAAACTCAAAAGAAAAAATTTAATTGGGAAATATACAGGACAAAGAATGGAAGGACTATTACAAGGAACTGTTAACATAACAAAGACCACAATTCATTGGAAAAGAAAACAGGCGAAGACGAAGCAGATCCCCACAACAAGAAATAGAAATAACAGATAGGGAAATGAGAACGGCCATAAAAGCAATCAAAAAAGAAAGCACCGGGACCTAGAGCCATCCCACCTGAGCTTATAAAATACGGCTCAAAAAAATTACACCGGATGATGCAGTGGGTATTTCAGAAAGCCATAAATGGAGAACAGCTCCCAAAGGAATGGACGGAGGCTTATATAACATCTATATTTAAGAAAGGAGATAGAAACGATGCAAAAACTACAGAGGAATAAGCAATATCATCAATAGGAAGATTATATGGGAAGATACTGCGAGAAAAGATAAAGCAAGCGATAAAAGGCAAAATCGGGGAGAATCTGGCAGGTTTCACGGCAGGAAGATCATGCATAGACCACATATACACACTGTAACAACTGTCGGAAAAAAAAAGCAAAAAATAAAGATACCGGTACGGAACGAATACCTATAGATGTTAAGCTTTGCAGACGATCAAGTAGTGACTGCACAAGATCAAGACCAAAGACGACTCTCAGCTACATGCTGAAGAAATTACAAGAACAATATACCAAGGCTGGCCTAGATATTAACCTCGCGAAAACAGAGTACCTATCTACAAGTGAAGAAGACATAGAAGATCTACAGATTGATGACAACGTAACAATCAAAGGAAAGGACAAATTCAAATACTTGGGGTTTATAATCACGAAAAAGGCAACAACACAGGCAGAAATTACGCAAAGATTAGGACAAACAAGAACAGCAATCCGACAACTTAACTCAGTATGGAGGAATAGACAGCTAAATATGAAGACAAAAACACAGATTTATAAAACATTAGTGCGAAGTATTATGACATATGGGACTGAAAATTGGATAATAAACAAGAAAAACAGCAGTCAGATAGTAGCAACAGATATGGAATGCTTGCGAATATGCTGCAGAGTAATAATGAAAAGGAGAAGTAATGACGAAATAAAGCAAAGAACATCAATAGAAACAGACATACTAACATATATAGAACAAAAAAGACTAAAGTGGTATGGGCATGTAAGAAGAACTAGCGACAGCAGATTGATAAAGGGAATAACCGAATGGAGCCCCATAGGAAATAGGAAGGAGGAAAAGAGGACGACCCCGAAGATCCTGGAGGAACGCAGTAGACGACGCCATGAGTAAAAGAGGCCTAAACGATGGAGAATGGGACAACAGAGAGAGATGGAAACGGTTGAGCGAGGGAAGGCAGTGAATACTGTAGAATCCCTGAATATATATAACAAAAAACTATGATCGGAAATGTGTTTGAAGGACTTCGAAAAAGAGAACAAAATATGAATTTTAGCGATGTAGTTACATTATATAGTATTTTGACAAAAGTTTTAGAAGCTAGTGTGAAATTAAAACAGCCGATGAAATACTTTGAAGTTTGAGACAAGAGAAAGGAAAGAAATAAAATTCGAGGATACAACCAAACAGGCTATTCGTCGTGCAGTTCATGAATTTTATTTAAAAAAGGAATTACCAACTATCAAAAAAAAATTCTTCTTCTCTTCAATCTAATGAAAATATTACAAAAATATTAAGACGTGTTTTGTTACGTACTTTACGTGAAATGAACTTTTAGTTAAGAAAAGAGGAATAGTACCCTTATCGAAAAAGTGGAAATCATTTTATGACACAGAAAGTATCTGAAACAAATAGCAGAATTTCGAAAAGATGAAAAAAAAACATATTATACGGATGAAACAGGGTTAAATAAAGGACATACTTTGTAGGCAAAAATTTGTAGGAATGAAATGTGAAAAACAAACGACAAGCTTTCCTAGATGGTTTATCGACAGGTTTAAAAGTCCCATCTGTAAAGGAAAAACGCATTATTATTAGCCATATTCGTAGCGATGAGGATTTGCAGAAGGAGGTTTAAATGCGTTTGATTCTAACAAGACTGGGGATTACCATGATAAAATGGATGCAGATCATTAGAAAAATGGTTTTCAGATATTCTGTTAAAAATCGAACCAGAATCGGTTCTTTATAAAGCTCCATATCACTGGCGGTGTACCAACTACTAAATGGAGAAAAGCTGAGATTGCGGATTGGCTTACTAAAAAAATAATAAATTCAATGAATCAATTTTCAAAATCAAGTTACTAACCTTAGCACGGTGACATAAAGATAAATATATCACATATGTAGCAGATGATATGACGTGAGAACGAGGAGTAATTGTAGTTCGATTGCCGCTATAACTATTATGAGTTAAAAACGATGGAACTTATAAGGGCTCAAGTAAAAAATGAAGTAGCAAGGAACAATGTTACTTCCAAATTAAATTTAAAAAATCTGCTTAATAGTGCAGCTAGAAATGTGACCTCACAGTCGTGGATAAAATGTATCGAGTATGTAGTGAAAGCAGAGCAGAATATGTGCAACCTAGATAGCTTTACTGAAATTACCGTGGACGCCGACAAACAGATCATATATCTAATAAATGAAGAGGTCGGGGCAATAAGGGACCTAAGCCTCATTTGAAAAGTTTTGAGTAAATCACATTTAAAGTTTTTGACAAAATCCTGAAATCACATTTTTGTAGTTTATAATGTTTACCTTAAATTCTTACATACATAA